ATTCAAGGTCATATTTTAGCTCTCGTGGACTTGTTTTCATTTTCTTCAGCTTCAGCTTGAATTTGCATATGAGCAAATGATGGTCTATTCCACAATCTGCCCCTGGCCTTGATTTCATTGATGATGTGGAGCTTTTCCATCGTCTCTTTCCATAGATGTAGTCAATTTGACTTCTATATATTCCATCTGGTGAGGTCCATGTGTATAGTCATCTGTTACGCTGTCTAAAGAAAGTATTTGAAATGAACAAATCATTGGTTATGCAGAATTCATTCTATCATGCGATCTCCAGTATCATTTCTATTACCAAGGACATATTTTCCAACTACTGATCCTTCCTCTTTGCTCCCAACCTTTGCATTCCAATCACCATTAATGATCAATACATCTTGATTGCATGTTTAATCCATTTCAGATTGAAGAAGTTGGTAGAACTCTTCTATTTCATCCTCATTGGCTTTAGTGGTTGGTGCATAAATAGTGGTATTAACTGGGCTTCCCTGTAGTCGCATAGATATTATCCTAACAAAGATAGCTTTGTATCTCATTAACTGATTTGGATATGTTCTTTTTGACAATGAATGCAAAATCATTCCTCTTCAATTTGTCATTCCTGGAATAGTAAACCATGTGGTTGTCAGATTCAAAATGGCCAATAGCAGTCCATTTCAGCTCACTAATACCTAAGATATCGATGTTTATGCGTTCCATTTCATTTTTGACAACTTCCAATTTTCCCAGATTCACATTTCGTACATTCCATGTTCTGATTTTCAATGGGTGTTTACAGCTGTTTCTCTTCATTTTGAGGTGTGCCCCATCAGCAAATGAAGGTTCTGTGGGCTTTTCTCCCACAGGCTTTACTCCATTCGTGTCATCACGGTCAACACTACTTTAAGGAGGCAGCTCCTCCCTAGATGCATTTTGAATGCCTTTCTAACCTGAGGGGTTCATTTTCCAGCACTATATCTGACAGTGTTTCTGTATTATTCGTAAGGTTTTCAGAGTGACTAAATATTCAGAAGTAGTTCATCACTCCTCCTTCCTAGTCTGTCTTCGTCTGGAAGCTCATCTGAAACCTGTCCACCATGGGTGACCCTGCTGGTATTTGAAATACCGGTGGCACAGCTTCCAGAATCACAGCAACTCACAAGCCACCACAGTACGACAGACTGACAGACGAGTGGTGGGTATTGCTCTAAGAAGACTCCATTATCTCTGGGATAAGTAGCTTTGGTTACCACGTAAGATTCAGTGTTGCGTTTGGTCTCCTCTGGATACTTTGTGAGCAGCAGAAAGGTGTCAAGGAGGCCCATAATCCTTGGTAGCAGGTGGGATGAGGAGGGGCTGAGGACAGGCAGACCTGTGACTGCCAGAGCCGGTGGCTAGGTGTGCCCTGGCAAGTCACTTAGCTCAGCAGGGCTCCCTGTAGAACACACACCTCGAGTTGTTGCTGGGTTCCTGCTGCATGGAGAAGGAAGTCAGGCAGTTCCCAATTAAAACGAATTTCTCAAGTTTGCT